TCAAACACAGTTGTTGCAATCAGGCGTTTCGCCATGCTGTACGGAATCATCCCGTCTTCCCATCTCAATCCATGGTGATAAGCAATCAACCAGGAAGCGCCGGACTTGTCGAATTTTGTTAAAGAATTCCATGGCATGGGACTCGCAAAAATGTAATGCGAAAGAACTGTGCCTCTTCTCAGGACCGCCACTTCTTTTATGATAAATCTCTTTCCAACGGTGAATCCTTGCAGATCTACAAACGTTGGTACAATCATGACGAGTAATCTATCGAAACTGTGTCCTCCTTGTGAAATGTCACAGTTTTTATTTCGGAGAATATTTGCAGACGTGACAATTTATGTGATTTTGCGCACAACGTTGGATAATGGTTTGAGGGGATATTTGCTCCGTTCGCGGTGGAGAGTGTGTGAGAGTAGTATGCCCTTGCCAACGGTGATTTTCCTTTCTTTCGTCCTTTGGTGTTCGCTTTTACCGCGCCCGTTTTTCGCTCGCTATTGACGTGTTTTTCGCTTGCGCAGGAATGGTAGTCGCCAGAAATGAGGTGACGTTTTCTTTCTATTTACAACCGTTTATTTTATTGAGAACTTATATACAGAGTGTATGTACAGTGTGATTTATGTAGTGTTTTCTTATGTGGCCCTGAAACGGGCCGATTGGTCACGGTCGCCTAAGCCGTAGGCTCGCGAGGACTCCACGCTATTCTCGGTTGCGTGAGTGTTAGACCCTACTGGCGTCCTTCGTTGGGTGTCTGCGTCGCCTTGTCGTAGTCATAGACTTCTTTCGTCTGGGTAGACGTCGAACAAAGCTCAGGTGTAGGAGCAGTTTGTGTCGCCTTGTCTGCTGTGTTATGCGCCCTGGTGCCGCGGTCCCCTGGTAGCGGTTGGATGCGGTCCGGCACTGCGAGAGCCTGCAGAATTGCTTCAGGCGTCGGGTGTTCGTTATTCTTGCGTGGCGTCCACTGGTGTTGTCGGCGTGGATCCGCCGGAGCCGGTCCGAAGTCTATCGATATGAGCCTCCACTCGTCTGCTGGAGCTGTCGCTACTGGCGGTCCCGCTGCGGAGCCTGTACGCTTCTTCGTTGTCACCCTGCAGGGCCTGGTCGCGACCCTCGTCGAAGCTTCGGCGGTGCCGGTTCGGGTTGACGTGGTAGGCGGCAGCTTGGCGGCTTTTATTTGGCTTCTCTCAAAAAGACTGCGCTTTCTCTAGTAGCGTCCACGAGGAGCTCCTGACTTGAGAATCGTGTCTGCTCTTCGATCGGCAATTTGGGCCTACTTATACCCTCTCGGACCGTTTCTTCCTTACGAGAAACTCGGTCCTCTAGCGGCTCGTCTAGGAAGATGACACTCGCGGCTGGCGCGTGATCGCCTCGTGCGCCTAGGCGAGGGCGCAAAGTCCGCCGCGCGAGACCCGGCGTAAGCGCGCGATGTGCCGGGCGGCCGCGGAGGCTTGGTGGCGCGCGCGTCGCGCGCGTAGTCAAGTGGCGCAGATATGCCGCCACAATGGACAATATTCAATCACGCGATCGTGTAAGATGAGACAATAGGCTGTAGTATTCTCCGGCACATTCTCTTTACAGTCAAATTCTATTTGCACATCCACGGTAGCGCTCTTGACGGACTTTTATCGCGTGCAGTCAATGACTACGAAAGGTCCATTCTCCAAAAATGGACCTACGGTTAACAGCGTTTCATTGTTTGTGCATCCGTAATAAGTTTTACAAAAACGAACATACATATCAAACAGGATGGCGTATCTGTTTTTATCAAAGTCCAGATTTAAGTCGTCGTACGGATAAAATTATGAATTTAAATAAAGTTTCACATTGGTTAATTTACATTCATCGAATAAAGAAGCATCTTTCGACATGACGTTCTTTCGATCAGTCTGCAAAGCAAAGATATCGTATCGTGGTTTTTTAGTTGCGTCGCAGTCTTCACAGCCCATGAATGCTTGGTAGTGCTCTGCAACAAGGGGTACTCGTACAGATCCCACGAGCAAAAACTCACGCTCAGATATCGGCCGCTTTCCAAAGCGGCATGGACAGTTTATTGACCTCGTTTAAGATAACGTGAGGCATTCGCCATTGCACCTTGTGTATTTCGACATTAGGCTCAGTCGCGGCATCTCCCACAAGACAATTGTTATCGTTGCGCGCTCGTATCAAAATCAATTCGTGTCGAGCGTTAACAACCACACGTTTGTAATCCTCACAAAAGCCCAGCAACATGTTGAGCGGCACGCAAAAGTTAAAGTATCCTTCGGATATGTGCGGTGTTAAGGCCCATCCAGCATTATGCAAAATTGCAGCTTTGCCATACGTTAGCGATAAATAGTTCTTGATAGTAGTGGTAATTCCAACGTTTCTGTTGCGATCAATCTCCACACCGTTGAGTTCGTATCGAATTTCATCAAACATGAACGTTACGCAATTCTTTGCAAGCGTTGTCACCGACCCTTCCTTCTTTTCCTTTATCGACATTTTTCCTTCAACGTAGAGAAAACTTTCACATGGTAATGTGTATAAATCCTGCTGTTGTATGGGTATTCGTATTTCATCGCTGTGTCCAAACGCAGTATTAGCATATGGATTGTATGTGTAAGTATCAATCTT